ATTTCCAGCATTACTCTGTTTAAAGTGATGTCAGGTTTCAGCATCTTATCTCAGAACCCAACCCTATGCCCACATTCTAGTGGAAAGGTTGTGGTCATGATTAAGTACTGTCGATAGGGTTTCTGAAGAGTGCCTGATTAGTGTGAACAGCCGACCTTGTAGTTCAAACTGACCTTTAAAGTCCAGTGCATTATTCTGCAGTGCAATTTTTCTGCATTGGTGGGAGAAATGGTAAGGTGTGTATTCCTAAAGCATCCAGAATGGATTGTATCACTACATAAAGAAAACAAAAATACTCACATCTGAACCAATAAATAACATCTTGATAAGCCATGGTATTTTCAATTGCCTCATATGTATGTGAAAGTTAGACAATGCATAAGGAAGATCATAGAAAAATAGATTCATTTGATTTGAGGTGCTAAAGAAGAATATTGAAAGTACCGTGAATAAGAACAAATGAATATGCACTGGAAGGAGTGTAGATAAAATCTCCTCAAAGCAAAAACGGCAAGTCTTCATTTCTCATACTGCAGACATATTATGAGGAGGATCGAGTCCTTGGCAGAGAATATCATGCTTAGTATAATCGAGGGTCAGCACAAAAGAGGAAGACCCTAGTAAGATGAACTGGCACAGTGACAGCAGCAATGGTTTTAAGTGTAACAACAATTGTGAGGATGGTGCAGGAAAACGTAGTGTCTCATTCTGTTGTGCGTAGTGTCTCTGTGAGCGTTAGCTGACTGACTGTCATCTAACAATAATAGTGATGTGAGGATTCCCATAATTTACTGTTAAAAGGTGGTATATAACTGCAGTGTATGTGAAACATGAACATAAAAATGAGTCCGGTTTATATTAATGATACAATTGTACAATTAAAGAGTAAGTCTATTTAGATTGTAAATTACTTTATGAAGATAATTAACAACAGATGACTTGCTGCAAACAGCATAATTTTTGAATTGTTGATAACAAACTTTATAATATTAAATAGCATAACATTCCTCAAATTAATTTATTATCAGTTGAAGGACTATGGTGTGGACAAAATGTATACATATTGAATGACTGAATCATCTTAAGAATAATCAATATTTATTGGAATGGATGAAGATGTTCAAAACCCATACGTGAAAATAAGAATTGTTAAGTGCTGTTGAGTTGGTTCTGACCCTTAGTGACCCTGCAAAGGGTTTCTAAGGAGTGGCTGGGATGCTTTAACCACCAACCTTGCAGTTCAAACCAACTTTGCAGTCCAGTGAATTAATCCACAGTGCAAGAGATAATAAAATAATATGACAACAAAATTACCAAAAATGGCTCTACTGTCCAAAATACTGCAACAACAATAATTACAATATCATTTGCCTAGTATAAATATACAAATACAAATTGACCAAAAAAATTGATAGCATAGAGCTAGAAATAAAAATAATTGTGCTATTATGGTGATTCAATAGACCTATTAAAGTAATATCTAAATGAAGTATACATCTTTTTAAAAAGAAGTTAAAATATTTAAAATTTGATTTATCATATTTCAGGTATATTTAATAGTGAAAATATTGAGGAGGAAATACTTTTGAGTATTGAAAAATTGAAGACCATGACTTGGTAGGGTAAGCTGCTTAAGCATTATTACCTCAACCTTTAAAAATATGATGGTAAGTCAAATCGTGTTGTTACATAATCATAGAACCTTTTAATAAACCAAAATATGAAAATGTGAAGTGATTGTCACTCAGCATCTCCTCCATCTAGGTCTGCACATTTCAGAAAGTGGTGTTTCCATCTCTCTAAGCCTTTCCTGAAGAATTATATACTCTTCCATTAAAGCACATCAAAATTGGCAGCTTTGAAATCCTGAAGAGACTCAAATTGTGTTCCTTTGAAATGTTCTTTGAGTGTGGGGAACAACAACAACAACAACAAACTTGAAGGGCCAAGAGCACAGATGGATGGAATAAAGCTTCCCAATGGAATTTTCATAAGGCAATCCTTGCCCCTCAAATAATGATCAGGGGCACTCTGATGATGGAAAATATTTCCTTGGTGTAACTTTCCTGACCTTTTTCTTCTTATTATTATTTTTTCTTTTTTTTAACTAATGAAAGTTTTATTTGAATTCCAGCACGAACATCAGACTAGAGATGTTTAGAAAATGGCAAAAAAAAAACCTCAAAAAGTTTTCTTGTTTTGTTTTGATTTTTTAAATCGTATTTCATTTCATTGCAATGATTACAATTCCCTCCATGCCTCATCA